TGGTCCACATGGGATTTCTGTTCTCCCTACATGTATACATATATCAGTTTAGATACGGTCTAGGGCCTAAACCCTAAACCCTAAACCCCCAGCCATGGCTCATAGAAATCGGAGATGCCATCCTTAATCATCTCCTGCATAGGACCGCGTGGTCAACGGTTTGGCCGTCAGGTTTGCCGCTGGGTTTAGGGTTCAAGGGTTGTAGGATTCTGGATGTGCGGGATTCAGGCGTCATAGGGCATTTGGGTTTAGCGTGGGGGTGGTCTATCCTGACTGACAGGTAGTTGTGCGTGAAGGTAAGAGCAGGTGTTTGGCAGCGGGCATGCACAACATCTAAAGTTCAACAAGTTTGCAGGTTCTTCCCCCATAACCTCGAACATGTTCAGAAGCCATGATATGAAAAGCCGAGTAACCGCATGTTGGCATACCAACAAATGCATGTGCTTCGTCGCCTTTTGAGTCCCTGGCCGAATCCCACCATTGCTATCCCTTCAAGCCCTGCCGCCTGCATGCATGGCATCCATTCCACGCAGTTCGTGAGCTGGTCTGCTAGCATCTCCACGATCTTTGGAACCTTGTCTCTGCAAGCAGGAGGGTTCAGGAGAGGGTCTGCGGGTGCAGGTTGCTGGCCGGCTAAGGTTTAGCGGGATTTGCTTCCGAACTTAGGCGATATGTTGGAGTTCAGGTTTCTCAAAGGGTCAATGTAGGTATGTAGTAAATACGGATAGGGACTAGGTATATACTATCTACCTAGATTGACCCTTTGCGTTTCAGTGTCGGGAACTGTCACGCTGGATATTGAGGTTTCGGCCTCGGGCATGGCAAAGTTCGTATTCATGGCAGACTGACAGGCAAAACATGAGCAAACAAGGTCTGGCTTGTACAGGCGCTGAAATCAAGTTCATTCAGTCACAGCAGAAAACACCCTGAACCCAACAACCTCAGCCTTAGACACTTAATGTAAGCGTCGTGATTATGAAGAGGGTGGTAATAATAAAATTCCCCCGGCCAGAGAAAATGCGGAGATTTGGGATGTTTCATTTAATGTTAGTTGCGAACCTATGATTTACTTATACTTGTTTTGCCTTTTCACACACTGGGAGTGCAGGGGGCAATTATTATAAAGAGGTCTTTTAAAGTTCACCGGCCTTAAAACACGTAAAAACCCTGGTTCGCACTTGAAGTCAAGCTTACAATCTACTGCTACTGCTGCTACTCCTACTCTTACTCTTAACTTCTACTCCTACTACTCGCCCTCCTACTCCCACTCTTACTCCTACTCCGCTCCAAGAGAGCTCAGGCACCAGAGGTTTTATCACGACCCCCAATTGTTTGGACCTTTGTTTCGAGGGGGGGGGGGGGGGGGGGNNGGCGTTATAACGACGCTCACATTAAACCTCACAACAAAATATTCTCATGCCCCATGTGTTATTATGGAGAAACATGCCAGGAGCAAAGCTCTGAGCCCAATTCCCACCACTTATCTGCACAGGTAGCTGGCGTGCCCGCAGGAATCTTCGAGCCGGTAAGATTCCTTGACATACTGCCATCATGGTTGGCCGTTTAAAGCCCTGTTCAAAGCATGAGTGCATACTAGGGTGTTGCTAAGGAACTGAATTAAAGCCACCATAATGGGTAGACATAGTGACTAATATGGCTTCCCAGTATTATATAGTGCCTTCTATTAAGTTCCTTAACAGCAACCCAATAAACCCTAAGCCCTAATCCCTAATCCCTGTCCCCCTTAATAGGCCCTATAGTAGTCCGTCCCCCATATTAAATCCCCTATATAACCCCGTTTAAGAAGTGTAGACCGTAGCTCATATAGGGTCCTTCCGAAACCCATACGGAAAACATCTAAGCGTCCCAAAGGCCCACCAAGGTGTTTAGGGCTTAGGGTTTATGTCGGAGTTATATTGGGGGTTATATTGGGATAACGGAAAATACAATGGAAATTACTATAATGGGCTATATAGGGGTTATGGGGTATTTATTGGGGTTCTATTGGGGTAATTAATGGAACATGATACTCCCCCTTGTGGTATATTGTATTATGAGGGGACTGTTTAATATAAGGGGGGGGGTGGCTTTAATATTAGAGGGAGGGGATTGTTAGTAAACTGGTCATGGTCATCCTACATTGGTTTGATGCATACGTCGACATGAAAAAATGTTAGCCACCGACAGCCCAGCTTCACATACACGTCGCAGGTAGGTGGCTGCATTTTAGGCTCCACCTGGTGACAATACATCTGGGCAAGGGAGAATTTTATGATCGTTCAAAGGGATTTTGGAAATATGCGGGATGCTACGCGGATTTGGGAGCTTCTTGTAAGGATCCTGTATACTGTATATGTACTTTAGCACGAGAATCCCCCTGCTGTGCGAATTTGTGTAATGCAAAGCAGGCTGCGATTAGGGGTCATGAGTCATGTGGTCAAAACAGATGTGAATGCAACTGGTTCTATTTTTTAGGGTACACGACCCCTTCGAACATGACATGCGGCTCTCATAGAGGAATTAATTAACATCATGAAAACCATCAAGCCATGAGCAATAATCTTATCAGCAGCCCTGTGGAAGACCACACCCTCCTCAAACTAACATGAAACCAAACAGGAGGCCTACACAGACGACTACCGGACTTCGAAGAAGATGGCGATCTGGGGGTCCATGTTCGGTGGTGGACGGTAAGCTAACTTTTCAGCATTGTCACCACAGCTATGATATCCCAAGAACTCTGGACGGAGGTTCTGCTACTAGCCAGCAAATGAGCCATAGTCTAAATACATGGGGCTATTAAGGGGGATACTAAGAGTTTAGACTATAGCTCATATGGCAGGAAGCAATCGCAGCGTTCACAGCCCACAGGCCAACTAAGAGGCAAGTTTGGTGTAGCACCCGAGGAACCCTTGCAACGAGGACAATTGGGGAAAGCCCATACGGTGACAAGAATGCCTCTAAGTTGTGTAATATATTAATGTATATAACAGGGTAGCGCTCGTGTATATATATATATAGATATGTGCACAATATGTCTCTATATATATATATCAGCTATGCAGTATAGAATATGAAAGAGAACACATGATACAATATGTATATAGCTTACCATGCATCACTGCCGAGATCCCCATTTTCTGGTGCTGATGCTCAGGGCTGAAAAATCAAACCACGAATTGCTGTGTGGCTCCAAAGAGCCTGCATCATCCGTGTTCGGGTTTGCAGTCAGAACGTTCTGGGTTGCCGTGCTGCATGACACCCCCCCACCCCCAATTGCCGTTGAATCTTCCATCCTCCTTTCCCCGTGTGAAGCTCTCGATATTCCTCGCGGGCCACATAAGCACCCAGAAGCGCATTAAAAGCCTCAGGCCTCCGAAGCCCTCCACTGAGAAAATACCCGCATGCGGCTCTAAACATGAACGCTCAAAGTCCTCACTGAACTAAGTGGCACTGAGGACCCCAAGTACGGGATAACCTTCGGTACCTCTTATAGGACTTTCAGGAATCCCAAAGGGTTTAAGGCTAAGTCCCACGGAGTGAACTCCAAACTCTAGGACGTCAGAAGCCTAAACGCTTAGACCGCTTCTTCATGCCTTGCATCACGTGGAAGTTTCCCAAAATTAGGGCTACCATTTTGGGGGTCCGACTATAGTATTTTGGGGTCTATACGGGGGCCCCCCTATTTTGGGAAACTACCACGTGAGTCCCGAAGACCCTACTGCAAGTCTTCCAACGTTCACATGCCAATCCCCGTAAACGTCAACCTCAAAATCTGCGACCATGTACTGTAGACTCTGAAACTCCAGCCCCTGAAACATGAACCCAAAACCTTGAACTCAAAATCTTGAGCGCAGTGCTCTACACGTTAAACCGAAAACTGAAACCCTAAACCATTTGTAGGGTAGTCACCTTTGTGCTCACCTTGACGGTTACCATTACAACGTGGTCCCTAATATATGGGTTACCCCCAAGAGCTTTGAACAACCTTCCATGTCCACCTCCTTCAAGGCAGCGAGCAATTTTTCTCTTGCCGGCATCATGCCTTTTTTCCCGAAAGGTCCATGCAGCTATATAGTGTAGCTATATAGTGTTTACTTGGGCCCCAAGGCAGTTCATATGGAAGCCCCTTAGGGCCTGAATTATATGCTACATCCGATGGACCCTTTGGGCTTGGGATGTTCTTGCTGGCATTAGGTTTTGGGCCCGGGGTTTTCGTGTCTGGGTAGCAAGAGCGGTGGGGCTCTCAAGCTATATGCTAAGTGTTTCGAGTCGCTGGGTGACTTTCATGATTTTCAACAGCAATGACATCTAGGTACCAATTTCTTGAAGGGACAATACTGCTAGCGGAACGGCACCTGACACATTTCCATGCCCCAAAGAAGGGACCCATACTTTGACAGCTGACCTTCCCCTGCCTTCATGCTCAAACCACCCTAAACTCGAAGCCTTAAATCCATGTGCACACAAGTGGAGAACTCCCCATGGTGGGGCGAGACTCTCAACACGCCCCATATTATAACCACTTTATACTCTACAAAGGTCTGTAGGGTAGTATCCACCCTCAGCCATCAAAGTTGTGCCCAACCCTGAAAATTATCACGATGATTTTGGTGACCCCCAACCCACAATTAGGACCTTACAACTATCATGCGGCTCTTATAGGGTCCCAATTCCTGGGCTGGTGGTTACCAAGCCCCCTTACTAGACCAGCAAAGTTGCACTTGGTGTGGAACGCGCCGGAAGTCTTCAGCTCCTTCGCTTGTAGGCAACCTGTGCCAGTATAGAAAGCCCAGCCAAGTTTAGAGTTTGGGGTTTAGGGTTTTGGGTTGAGGGCCAGGGGTTTGATTTGGGGCTTAAGGTTCCAGGTTTAGGGTTTGGGATTTCGGGTTTAGGGCTTCCCTAAACCCTAAACCCTAAAGTCTGGGGCTGGGAGCGAGGGTGTTGGATGTTTCATGAGTCTTGGTGCTCTGGAGATGAGAAGGACATTATGAGCATGCCCATCCTGGATCACGTCGGGATCATTTGGGAAACTAGGATTAGGTTTGTAGGCTAAGGTTTAGGGATTAGGGCCTAGGATTTAGGATTAAGGTTTTACTGTAGGGCTTGCGAATTTGCAGACCCTACATAACTGGTGCTATGAGTGTGGATATTTGAAGTTTGGGACTGATGACAACCCCGAACATCTCTTGAGGGTTACCCCTGCAAGACAAACTGTATAACCTCATGCCACTCAGTGATCTCCAAAAAAATGGGTCCCTCAGTTGCAGTCTTCATTCTCTGCAGACTCTGTTGCAAAATAGAACCTGACGTACAGGCAACTGGACCTTTCTACCTGGACTTTTCTAGCTTGGACTGTCCGTTGCTTACTATATTGATTGTTGTAAATTTTCTCTGACAATTACGTAATACTATTCTCACTATTTTGTTCCGCTGTTCGTGGTTTTCATACGGAATGCGGGCCACCTTCCGTCGCGTTGGCCTTTTCCAAGAGCTTCTCCATGCAGGCCTTGTTCCCAGCGCAGGAGAAGCCGTTGGGGAAAAGGATGTTGGCCTGAGTTTATGAAGCCATGGCACCATGCGCTTGTGAAGTCGCAGCATGAATCACCTGAAACCCAAACCTGAAAACCTAGATAGTAGCTTCCATTTTGTTTTCCATCATCCCACTAGATCCCTTTTATTTGTATCTTTAACTTCCGAACAGCCTGCAGAAGGTCACATGGTATGGTAGGAGGTGCTTGCTCTACCGGCATTTCCACGAACTGGGGGGGGGGGGTCCTGATTAGAGGTGCATGTACTAAGGCTAATACCACTTGGGTGCATACATATATATGTATACAATATATGTATACAATATATATATATATGTATACACACATACATATGTATATATATATACACATGTATTTACAATCCCCTGATTTGTGAAATCTCCCATGGCTTCGTGCTCTCACAGGCAAGAGGCTATCTGGCAGACGTCATCAGGACCGGATCTGCATTCTTCGCAAAGCTTTTCCACAACGTCTTTCCTTGCAAGAGTTTAGGGCTTTAGGGTTTCAAGGGTTGAGGGATTAGGGTTGTGGGGCTTTATACACTTTATGGATGAGGGCTTAGGGATTAGGCTTTTAGGGTTTGGGGAGTAAGGGCCACCTTGCAGAAAAAGATCATTCAGTCATCTGAGCAGAAGTAGCGAGCAATGGTATCAAGAGCTATACTGCCGCGACGACAACTGCTGCTGCTACTGCTACGCTGCCGCTACCACTACCGCCGCCACCACCGCCGCGGCTGCGTCTGCTGCTGCTGCCACTGCTAAAATACACCACCACCACCACCACCACCACCAACAACAACAACTACTACTACTACGACGACGACGACGACGACGACGACGACGACGACGACAACGGCGATGGCGACGGCGACGACGATCACTACCACGACCACGACTACCACTACTACCACGACTACCACGACTACCACTACCACTTTTCACTTCCACTACTACCAGTACCAGTACCACTAGCACTTCTACTACTTCATCATCCTCATCGTCATCCTCATCATCATGATCATCATCATAAGCGTGACGTTCATCAACATCATCCTCATCAGCATCACCACCATGTTCATCTTCACCATTACGGCGAGATGCTTTTCGTACTTAGAAGATCAGGGAACTTAGTCATTACTTGATAGGATAAGAAACAGACTAGATCTCAATTCGGGACAGCAGTCCTCTGAGCCTCTGAGTAAGGTATTTATCTATTATCGTTTGGGGGGTTCCGAAACACAGCCCTTAATTTTAATGGCTTTTTAGCTTGAGTATAAAGATATATGCAGGGTCTACGGTCCGTTTTTGGGGGGCTTGCAATAAGGTTGTGTATTTTTTGTGGTACCCATCCATTCTGTTTCAACCACTTCAAACTATTGTGATGTGCTAAGAGTTTTCGACAAGAGTTATCCCCCTAAACCCTAAGCCCTTATCCAGACAGGAACTGCTGGCCTAAGCTTGCTCATGCTGAAGCGGGGGTGTGGCAGTGGATCCCTATAACGATTCCTTTAAAACCCTCCGGTCCCTTGAATAAGGGCTGGTTTTGGTATTTCGGGGTCTATAATCGGGTCCCCTACTCATGGGAACTTCACAATACCGCAATGTAGTACACAAGGTAAGTTGAGTCCGGACCATGGCTTGTGGGAGTTGACTCCAGGGTCTTTCAATCGAAGCTGCTCATGTCTGAATGATTGTTCAGGGTTGAGGGTTTTAGTCAGGCAGGGTTTAGGATCTGAAAGATTTCCTTTTCGAAGTCTAATTGGAAAGTGAGGGAAGAACATAGGAAAGTGAGCCGACATCGTCTTCTAGCTTCCTGGTTCCTACCAGCTTAACAGCCTTCTTGTTCCAGTATAGCATGCTTGTTGAGGCTGTCATTTTAACGTGAAAAGGTCTCATAGAATCATTCTAACGCTAAACCCTAAACCCTAAACCCTATTAGAGAACTCCAGGGAGCTGGCCTTCTGTCCCGTTGTGATTTGCGCGCTTAGAGCGACTCTGCATTTTCCAGATATCACGAGTACCCTGCACTGAAACAACAGCCTCATGTTCAGGGGATTGTCGCTGCACTGTAAAGGGATTCCGGAGGCACAACAACTAAAGGATGTTTTGGCTATTGCTTCGAATGTGTCACGGAATGCCGCATCCTGTACTAGCCGGCTAGTAGTCCTCTTACTTTTGTAATACACTATGCTCCAAGCATGGCTCAGCAAAGTATGTCATGATGCCACATTACGTAACTCTCCAGATGCCTAAGCACTAGTTATGCTCTTGTTCCCTACACCCGCCGCATATGATGAAGTTGGGCTGCTAATCCTAAACCCTGCCTCTCCCACATAACCCCACCAAACAGACAACAAAATCCAGTTGAAAGGGCCGAGATATGTCAAAAATCTTTTCATAATTTCCGAAAATAGGGAGAACCCCAATATAGGCCAATCTACTATTATCCCTATTATGGGGGCCCCAGAAAAGAAGCCCCACTATTTTGGGGGGAACTCCCATTCTCCAGGCTTTAAATCTGTAGCCTGAAGGCTTGTTGCCTTGGGCTTTAGGTCTCAAATGCCTGAATTGAGGGCTCTTCATGGCTTAAGGATCGAAATGCAAAGGACAATTCCGTGACATGAAGTAACCCCAAACCCTACATATCCCTACCGTTCCCTAGATATCCCTAAATATCCCTAGATATCCCCATATAGAGCCCCGTATATCTATATCTATATATATATATATCATTAGACAGATAGATAGCTCTCTATAACTATAATCCCTTTGTGACTCCTATGTCCCATTTAGCATGGCTTCTTGAGCCCAGCCAGGGATATCATCTTCTGGGGCGTGGCTTCCGCAGCCTTGGGGGTGGTGGAAGGCAGGTGGTTTCGGGTTCAGGGATTAGGGTTTGTGGTTTGGGGTTTAGGGTTCAGGGATTAGGGTTTAGGGCTTGGGGTTTAGGGTTTAGGGTTCAGGGATTAGGGCTTAGGATTTAGGCTTCAGAGTTTAGGGTTTGGTAGGGTTTGGGGGCGCGGATTTGAGGTTTTTGGGGCTTAGAATCAATTTAGACTTGCCTAGACTGACCTATGTACTTGATGCGAAGGGCATTGAATCTAAATTTCTGATATCTTGACCCTTCTTTCTAGGTATCAGGTTACTCCAGGTAGGTTTACTTACCGGTTGTCAGTAGGGACGAGGGCGATATATTAGGGATTGTATGCGGATTATATTCGTCTAAAAAACCCTCAAGTTTAGGAATTAAAATTCAGGCTTTCCAGTCTATCAGGTTAAGAAGGGAAATGGAGCAGATGTTGCTGGGGTTGGCAATTGATGGCCTTGGGTTTGGAGTTGTCTGAGGTGAATGCCTGAGGGTTTGGGTTTATGGTTTACGGTTTAAAGTTTAGGAACATAAATCCCTAAATCATACTCGTTGAACCCGATGCGGTGCCATGACTGTAGCCCTAAGTCGTCAAACCTGATAAAAGAAAGCAATCCGAAATTCGGCTAGGGTTTTGACCTTGGGCCCATGATCCCTGATTGAAGGCTAAACCCTAAACCCTAAAACCCTTGTTTTCGCAGCTCTGAGGCTTACTGGCCAAGTCGTATATTTTACACTCACATAATCTCCAGCCAAAGGCCTCAAATTAAGAACAAGCCTGATCGCTGCGAAGAATCCCAGAACAAGACAAGAACAAGTCGTGACGCCCTACTGTTGATACTAAAGCCCTGCATGACCTCACTGTACTATAGTCCCATAATTCCCCAGGTTTAGGGTACTTAGGGTCATGCATAATTCTTGGTATCCACTGTCGAGTAGAAGAAACTTGTGGCCAGTCATGAACTCGACGCATCTGAGCCATGGTCTTAGGGTGTGGGGTTTAGGGATTAGAGCTTAGGGTGTAGGGTTTGGGGTTTAGAGTTTGGGGTTTAGGGTAGGCAGAAAGGCCGTATGATTTGCCATTGGATGGACCCAGTAACGTACTACTTGTTAAATCCTGGAACATACATTCTTGCGAGCTGATTTCCTCTAACATCCTCTAACCAGGTACTGCAGCAAACGAACTCAAGAAGCGTGCTACTAGATGTTGTCCATCCTATGCCGAAAAAGTATACCTGAATTTGTTAGTTCGCCTCCAGTGCCAAGACGTCTAGTTTGAGGGTATCCTACATATTAGGGCCCAGGTTCTACTAAGTACCCTACAAGGAGCCACGTCCGTATAATTGACAACCTTCAGTATCCTTATGGTCGCCAAGCGAGCTTTCAAAATTGAAGCCTCGGGGATGCAAACGGCTAATTTTCAATTATGGGAGTTTCCCAAAATCAGGGGTTACCTTTGAGGAGTCCCTATAAAAAGGATTACAGTATTTTGGATTTTTTTAGGGGAGCTATCATATAAGTAAGGAGTCATATCTGTAGACTTAGAGGCCCAGCAATCCCATATCCTGAGTCCCCTGCCTGCTGCATCGCTTCTCCTCGGAGCTTCACCAGCCGAAGGCCCGTCTCAAAGTCGAAGACGCCTGGGGGCTGACTTGACGTGAGCAGCGTTTTTTGGTGCTTGAACCTAGTAAGATTTTATTCCTTATATAAAATACTATACCCCAAAAGGAGTATATAATGTTACTCTATGGTACCATAGTATCCCCAAATAAACTACTACTCAAGCGGGGCTTTCAAAACATTGGAACCCCTTTCAGGGGGCTATGAGGATTCTGTGGGCGTATGGGGGCAGGAGGGGTTGAGGGTTGGGGCGATCCGTTTTGGGACGACCATCATGTAGGGAAGCTGCACATGTAGGGTCCGAGTACGCCTTTGTTGCCTCCTGCTTTTTCGGCAAAACATGTTTCATGGTCGCCTCAGGCGTGCAGCTTAGGATTGCAAAGAGGGGTTGATCACATTCTTTTCTGATTTCAATCTTGCAGCCTTGAAAATATAAAATGTTCCTTCCACCTGCCCTTCTGTGGCA